GAATTATAAATAAAAATTCAAATTAGACAAGAATTTCGGGAAAGATGGAGTACTTGAATATGTATGCATATATAGAGGGGCTTCCACGTGTTTGGTGCTTGGAATGTGTTCTGTGAATGAGCTTCGAAATCATGTTTTCTCATATCCTATTTTCTAAAAAGTATTTCAACAGTAATTATAGTCTCTGTTCAGGTGTATCTTATAGGGTAGTAGTATATTTATTTATTGGCGCAATAAAGAGAATAAAAAAATCTAATAAAGTCATGATTTTCGACCGCGGATCATATAACCTTCTTCATTAAGGCATGCTAATCTGCAATTTCATAAAGGCATATCATTAATAATTCACCCTCTGTTCATCCACTCTACCATCATTTAGGAATCGAGGTCCCTATTGATGATCACATAATTAATTAATTATATCTTGAAAGATGGTTAAGAAGACTTCCATTCACTGGTCAACTTGACATTTTTTTACTTTAAACTTTTCTTTGTTTTGTTTTCTTGCCCCTGTTGCCCATGCAGTGAAAGGCGGCTTTAAGTAGTTTGACTTCCTTGCTTGATGAAATTCTATCCTGAAAGCAACTTTATGATAATCGAGTGTTACTACATTCAAATTAACCTCTATTTGATTCGATTAAAAATTTTAATGATGTTTAAGGCGTAATAAGTGCAACTTTTTTTAACGTCATTTTCGGGTTGATGCTTAAGTTTGGCTTTTTTGTTTGGTTACCAAACCCTAACTACCAGGGCCACCAAAGTCAAATCACCTCATACTCAAAAAAAGAAAAGAGATAAACATTACATACATATATATATGCATTATGCTGCAGCATTCGCATCAGTTGCATGCCAGGGATATTATATAGACTATATGAATCAAAGCACATTTTTTTATGATCTAAAATCAAGAATAAATAAAAATAAAAAATAAAAAGGTATGAAATCATCATTCATTTTTCATTTATTACTACAGTAATCGATCAGTCCGAATTAATTAGAACATATATCTTTTCTTAATTAGTCGAAATAGGGATTTAATTATCAAATCTATTCGTTTTACTTAAGCACAGTGGCTTTTCTGTTACCCTTAATTATCAAATTATTTCTGATAACGACCTCAGCCGCCGGTGACTCCTTTTGGGTGCATCTGGCAATAAAGATCAAGCATGCATACGGATTTTTTCTTTTTTTAAAAAAAAACATATGAAATTATGAACAGTTCTATACCGCCTACATATATAACTATTTTCATACTGATCTGTACTTTAACAACAGCAATAGTTTTTTTAGTTTTTTGGGATTTTCGGAGTTCTTTCAAGCCAAATGAAGACAAGAGCAGACAAATACTGAAATACGTAGTGACGTACTGTCGACTAGAATAGGGTGGAAATATTTGGTGAGATGGTAATAAGGAAATAGAAAATGTAATCGTATTTTTGAGAGAGCAAATAATATATTTTTTTTAATTTTTCTCTTTGCCAAACAAAGCAAACTTTGACTATGGTTTTGTTTTATCATTTGATAAAGTTTCCGTACTATTGTGATTTGGTTTTATCCATGACTCGGCCAAAGCAGTTGACATGAGTAATTACGGAGGGTTTTCAAAAATAAGCACAAATCATATAGTATAAGATTGTAAAATAAGTTTCAAGCTTCCATTTAAAAGCTTAATTAATGAAGTCTCATCTTGACGAAATAAAATCCAAAATTTCCAACTCATGCTAGTTATGAGAGTTTGGCAAACCTTTTGAAATATTCCATCCATTTGTCTCGAAGAAGTAAAACAAATAAAACATTAATTTTGAAACAAACAGTTGAATATAATATTATTTGGAATTTTAGGGCTATATATAACGTAATCTGATGTTCTTTTCAATAACAATAATAATAAAGGGTAAAAGGATAAATTAAAAAACTCGTTGGGTGATCACGGATAATGGTTTCCTTCTTTCCGCCATTGCACAGACTATTAATTATTTCCCTCAACTTTTAGCAGGTAGCTAGTCGTATCCTAGTATATAATCAATCTTGTTGGGCATGCATGCACCGTCATTTGGTCTACTTTGGAATTAATGTTAAATTCCGTCAAAAGTATGAGAGAATTCAGACTACTTTAGTTGCTGTATATTCACACAACACAATCATCACGCCCTTATTAACGTGTCAAATTAAGTTTGAAATATTTATTGTAAATGAAATACTCAAAAGTTCTTATATATAATAAGTTCTTTTGTTTTTTTTTCCCCATTCTTTAAAATTGACTTGGATTTACATCGTGTGACCGGCGTACGTCAAATCTTGGTCAAGGAACAGCCTAGCATGTCTCAAAATTATGGTATACACTACACCCAAAGAGGGCAAAAGAGGTACGTACTGTGAGAAAATGATGGCACAAAGTGAAAACAAAGATCCTCCAAGACCAAGAGCCAAGAGGGAAAGAAATCAAAGTTGTTTTACAGAGTAACATGCTCACATTGACTTTTTTTTTTTTTTTTTTGCATGCATTCAAGGTGATAGTGAATTTCCCACCTTCTATATTTCGTTTATCAGCATCTTCCCAAATTTAAGGGACTGTGCAAGAAAATAGAGTTTGATGCTATGTTTTCAAAATCGGATCGGAAGATGAACCGTTAGCATGACTGAGTTGGTGGGTTTATCGGGTTAACGGGTTAGCTCGTTCTTCGAAACCAGTGAAAAGTGGTTAAAATAATATTAAAAAAATATTTAAAAATTAATTTTTTAAGAAATATATATAAAAAACGATTTAACCGGTACCGGTTTCCGGTCAAACCGCGATTTTGCCTAAATTTGACCGAGTTTGACCGGGTTATACAGAATCTAGTTTTTTAAGAAAACTGAACCGGTGAGACTCCCGGTTCCCGAGCTAACTGGTTAGACCACCCGGGCCGATCCGATTTTGAAAACACAGGTTTGATGGGATCGAATGAACATTGTTCCTAAGTTTTTGCTCTCTTAGCTATATTATACGTAGCTCCTAAAGTTTAGATTTAGAAATGTCTTAATTTAAATTTTTTTTATTTTTTTTAACGAAGCTCTAGCCGTTCTTCATTGTACTACAAACAAAATTAATTTATCGATCAATTTCTTTCTTTTTTTTTTTTTTATATACCATTACTTTTCTAGGATTGAAGATATTATTGAGTGATATGTAATGTAATATTTTCTAACGATGCAAAAAACTCATTGATGCGATTACAATTCCGCTAACGAATTAATCACTATAGTCAATGGTAGATATCACCAGGAAAAAAACATTTTTCTTTAATATATTGATTATGAAAACCGAAAATTTCCATTAACAAAAAGGAGGAGGGAGGAATGGAGCCCATGATCCGACAAAGGAGAGGAATCATCATCATGCATCACATCAGCAATCACTGTTGGCCACAATTGGCAGGAAGGCGGCTAACTTTGGCAGAAAGGATTGCCGCATCGCCCGGTTTTGAATTATGTAGTTCCATTGATTGTGGGACCTTTTTGACGGAGGATCGGAGGAGGAGACGATGGCTCCCTACCTCCATATCGATAGGCTGCCTTCTCCGTCTCTATTAATTCAGTAGTCCTCAAGAAGAAGGAACAGGCTGAAATCAACACCAGCCACACGTTTTGCGGTCTCCTCTATGATTTTTAGGGTGGTGGTTGTTTAGTCCATTGCCAACTTTTCATAAAAATCTAGATGCATTTGAATCTTTGTAAACGATTAGACTCCCGTTTGATACATTTTTGTTGTTTTTGTTTTCAGTTTGAAGCTCGTCACGAATCGTGATAGAGCGGTTGAGACTCTTCCGTCTTTTAATTTTATATATCGAGAATTTAAATTCGATCACAAACAAACATAAAGTAATTTTAAATTGGTTAATTGTTTCATCCATCAAAACATTTACAATTTCAATAAAGAAGATTAATTACTGTCATCAATGGTAAATACAGATTGGTGACAACAATGATAGATAAATCAGTATGGGATAGTGATACAAATTGGCTGATTCCTAGAGATCTCCCTGGTGTTTGGAAGTATTGAAGTGCTTTAAAAAACCACATAGAACAACATTGATCTCTTGGAAATCTGTCTTTCTTTGGTTGAAATTTGTTTGAACAAATGTTTTGCATTAGTATTATTTCCTTGTGGGTGATGGTACGCACTAATTACTAATTTAGACACAAAGGTAGAATGCGCACTGAAGTTTCCAATTCTACTTAACGACAAAGACCTGTGAATCCTTTTTTCAGAAAAACGTGCTTATTTCCCACACCTTGGAAGCAGCTACCTGGATAGACTGGGGAGAGCAAATCAAAATGTTAAACTTATTATATACCAAAACGAACAAAAATACAAAATCATTGGCACTATCATCAAATCAATAGTCATCCTGATCAAGTCTCCACTTCCGGTATCAATCACCATGGCGCTTAGTGGAAGCTTCATTCTGACATTATTGCTTTGCTACTTACTTGAAAAAGTTGCAGTTTTTACTCTTAATTTGTTCGGGAAATTGAAGTAACTTATTGTAACAAAATAATAACTCCATAACTTCTTTTGTCCCGTGAGTACAATCAAGGATATCAAATTTAAGACATTACAAATTACATTTTGGAAGAAAAAATATTCTTTCTATATTATGATAATCAGGGACACGACCTAATCCTTATCAATTTTGATCCAACCACTCCTTCTGACGAGATAATGTTAGCTGAATAATTATTTCTCAATATAGATATGTTTTAATTCCACCCGTCACTCTTGTTAAGAAATTTTTGACATATTTATATTCGTAATTTTAGACGATGATTAAACAAGCCAATTTAAGTTTACTTTCAAAATATTGTATATTTTTGTTTTAGACTTTAGTTTGTACGTATCTCAGGAAAATAATCCAAAATGACTTTTGAGATTTGTACTATTTTTTTGAAACAGAGATAGTACTTAATATGAAAAAAAAAATATCATTATGTATCATTTTGTATACAACATTGTTGGCCTGTTGCATTACAATTTACAAGTTGTGTTCTAATGAAAGGCTTGAAAATCCATGAGAATTCAAATTGTATACACAAAACTCGTCATTAATTAACTTCCTAACGTCCGGCATGACGTCCAAGAAAGCATCACCGTCACCGCACATTTACTAGTGACCGGAACCTGTCAAACATTATTCAACGAAATTGAAAAACAAACCGTTCAACACATGGAGGGGAAAAAATAGGAAAAAAAATCATTTTTCTAATTCTAATGCAGGCTGATAATACGACATCCTAGGTTGTAATTAATGCAGTAAATCCACATATCAAACCGGAGAGTAATGTTATATCCACATGTCCTAGCTAGTTGTAGTGGACGGGACAAAATTATCCATAATTAAACAAAGCTAAAATGAGAAAACAAACACAAAAATCTGTAGCCACTAGCCAAGAGGAAATAAAAATTATTATTAACAAACAAATATCTCTCTCACAAAATCGCCGCCTTAAAAAGGCAAGCTAGATTAATCATTAATCACACTTATCAATTATCATAATTCATTACCACGCAATTTTTTCTCTCTCGTACTATGAACACTCTAAATTCCCGCCAAAGTAATACCAATTCACATTTTTCATTTACCCGAAAATAACCCCCCTCTAGCTACTTCTAATTACACAATAGGACACACCAATTTATTTTCATATTATACGGTTGGGACCCTCCAAAATTAGCACGCGAATTCTAATTTTGCAATTTTGGTCATCTGAACTCAACGAGGAAATCATCAAAGTCAACCTCGCCGAACTCCTCGGCGTAATAGGTTCCTGTCGGTTCCAACAGCGGCAAGTCCAACGAAAAGTCAATGCCGAACCCGAGACCGTCAACCTCGGGGAATGGGAAGCCATCAAATGGCGTCGACACGTCTGAACGGAGAACCGACGTCGGCGACAAAACGGCTTCCTTGGCGTCGGCGGCGGCGTCGACTGACACCTCAGTATCGGCTTGGCTTGTGACGTCATCGTAGCGGAGGACTGACGTGGGCGATAAAGCGACGTCTTCCTCGGTCGCAGTATCCATTGTAGAATGACTTTTCTCGCTTTGCGACTCACCGGCGTTTGCGAACTCCACTACCGGGAAGTTCGTCACGGCGTCCCGTCCTTTCAGTTTCAGGGCGGCTCTGTCGTAGACGGAGGCGGCTTCCTCTGGAGTATCGTACGTTCCCAGCCAGACCCGTTTCCTGCGGCTCGGGTCACGGATCTCCGCCGCCCATCGGCCCCATGGTCGTTGACGGACTCCCCTGAACTTTTTCCGTCGCGTGACGTCAATTCCCGGTGGAGGGGTCAAACTTCTCTTCCTGATTGGCTGCTCTGTTTTCGGCGTTTTCGGAAGAATCCCGAAGTTGATCTCCTCCACGTGTCTCTTTACCCTCCGTAGGTGTCTAACTCGATGGTGATCATCCTCTTCATCATCATCGTCGGAAGAATCGGTTGCATCTGGGTCGGTGAGTGCGATTCTGACTACTCTGTGCCGGAAAAGGGCATGGGAATCGCCGGAGTTGAGATCGCCTAATGGCTTATTTGTGATGACAACATGCTCTGAATACTTAACCGGCAGCTGAGAATCTGATTGAGGGTCGACAAATTGAAATCGCCTGTATAATTCCATTACTGATCAAGGAAGCATCAAGTAACAGCTGGTTCTGGGTGAGAGAATTGATTTTTTGGGAACAAGAAAGAGTTCAAGAAGGGGGAGTCTTAAAAAGAGGGGAAACTGACAAGAGTTATATGCTCTTGACTCTGTAGTCTGTACTCTGCTTTGCTGTTATTAAGGAAAAGCGCGCCAAGCAATGGACCATTTGGCGGGAAACTACTAACCACCCAGTTAGTAAGTGGTATTATATACACTAAATACAGTAAGTAGTCTTCCCTTGTCCTAAAGGTTCAAGAATCGAGACTGCCTTTACTTTCTTTTTTTTTTTTTGCTTTCTTCTTTCTTCCTCCACTCCTCTCAGCTCCTCTTTTTGTTCTTTCTTGAAATTCTTGTGGTTCAGAATTGTGATTTTTTCTCTGATTCTGAATCAGAATGATATATTGATTGAAGGAAAACCGCAGGAAGCAGAGGAGGGCAAGAGAGAGAGAGAGAGAGGTAGTAACACTAAAAAGGAAAGAAACAGAGTATCAAACAGAGTGAAAGAGCAGTGGACTTTGGCCTAAAGCATACATATATACTACACGGGTCTAAATGAATTCAGAGGGAAATGAACAGTGGACTGGGACTAATAGTGGACTAATATACATTTGGTAATTGTTGTCGGAAGGTGGGAATTGGAATTTCCACTTACAGCTGGCGTCCTTCGTGGACGTGTCAATGCCGTTCCACTTTATTTTTTTCCCTTCTTATTTTTCAAATTTTTTTTTTTTTTTTTTATAAAAAAAGTAGTATTAAATCTGAGATCTGATCCTTTTAGATTTGGTTTTGCCTTTTTGGTTTTAAACATTCTTTTCTTTATAATCTGGATTTTTGGGGTGTTCAGTTTTTTTTGTTGACTCGGAAATATCCAAGAAGGCTGCTGGTGGATTTAGTGGTGCTCATTTTCCCAGCCTTTATAATTGAGCAGAAATTGTGAGGCATGAGAGTGGAGCCTCAGAAGCGCACACAAAACTCTTTCTCTCTAGAGTCGAGACCACGCTACTTACCTTAAACTTCCCGTGAACATTTTAATATGATGGAAGAAGGAATTGGATATTATTAGTCCATGTCACAATGATCTCCTTAAAATTAATACTCTATCCGTCCCAAAATAAAAGTTTCACGCATCAAACATGACTAATAAAAGAGATAAGATTTTAAGCGGATTAGATCTTAGAAGTGTTGTAACGTAGAGAAGTTTTTTTCGATATCCAAAAGGAAACTATTACTTCGACCAATTCGAACCCAACTAATCAGGTGATAGCTTCCGAATTTTTTAATCACGACTGCTCGTTATTAAACCAATATCACAGTAAAAAATCAAAATGCCACGTACTTGATAGTTTATCACCCGAACCAAGGTTAATTTGTTGGGTAAACTATGTTAAACTAGTAATGATGGAATAAGGGGAAAGTATTAAAAGACTTATTCACGGACACGACCAAGCGTTTGTTTGGACGTCATTTTATATTTCATTTTGCTACTTAAAAATGAAAAGTGTTTCAAGTTGAAAACTAAATAGGAAATGAAAATGTTGTTTGGATGGTATTTTGAACAAAAAGTTGTTTGGATGTTGATTTTGAAAAAAATATTTTGAATTACATTTTGAAATATTAAATACGAATCATCACTAAATAATTAAATACTATCAATTATAATCACTTTAAAAAAGAATTTTTTCAAAAACAATCACTAAACAACATAAACCTGGCAAATTTGTCACTCTAAGATTTTTCTTTGTTAGATTTCGTTACTGAACTACTTCTGTTTCAAAAATGGTCATCACACTAACAAAAAGTGTTTCAAGTTGGAATTTAAAATGTAAATAGAAAGTTGTTTGGATGATGTTTTCTTTTCCACTGGATTTTGTATTTAAGAGTTAAAATGAGTTAAAATGTAAAATGAGTGCTTGTTCAAATAAACAACAAGACTTCTGTCGTTGACCAAGTTTGGCTAACCTTAATTCTTTCGTAAACCCCGAAAATTGGGTTACAGTGAAAACACCAAGGCATGAAACTGGAAGAAGTAAATGCCATGGCCCCATCTATTGGAGGAAATTGTGGACATATGCTTCCACGACATCGCGGCTTCTAAGAAATTTCAAAGTTTGCAGTTCCAGATACAAATTACAGAGCAAATGTGAAAAAAAAACAAAAAAAAAACAGGGGACATGATTCAGTCTGTCCTCCCTTAAGTCCTTAACTTTCTCAAATTCTGTTATTTTTTATTGGGTTACTTCCGACAGTAATGAAGAAAAATTTGACAGCAAAGCAGGTTAGAATTTACAAACTTCATAAATGTATTGGATACCCTATTACCAAATCTGGTTAATTGCGTTTGACTAACTAAAACTTCTACATGTGCCTCAATAGTTCTTGTGTCATTAACCATTTCAATTAACCCCAAAAAGCTATACCAAATCAGTTGATCATGTTCAACCGTTGAATGATTCTCATGCAATCTCATTAGGTCATTGATCTAAATGATGTTCTCTTTATAGTACAAGCAAAAGGGTCATTTTGAAATTTGAAATGAGGGTCTCGAACTGAACTATTCATAAATAGCTCAATTGATCTTAAATAATTGTTTGATTTTGTTGTGATGGATGGAATATTATTCTGGCCTTAACTTAATTAGAAGAGGGTACTAAAAATTTTCATTAAATTGGACCAGTCTGTTTGGGGATACTGTTAAGCACGCATACAATGTGGACCAGCAGCAATATTGGAGAGCCGGAGATCCTGTTTGTGTGTGTGTGTGTATATATATATATATATATATATATATATATATATATCGACTGATTAACTACGTGCGATATATACAGTAGTTGATAGTTCGATAGTCAAGATGTGATGAAATTATGAATAAGACATGATCATTGTGAAAAATCTACACACTTCGAAATTTTCTAAGTTAAAGAAAAAGATTAAAGAAAAGGAACCAAAAAGGCCACTCGAGAAGTTGAAAAGTAAGACAGAGTTGGTTTTTTGTGTGTAATATAGCTTGGAAAATAAGCAAAGCAAAGGGGGTCGACGGAGATTGGATTGGATGGAGACCCCATTAAGGGAAGGATATGGCCAAATGCCAAATGGGACGGCAAATGGACATAAAAATGACACGAGCAATTACATATAAAATATTTTTATCTTGCTTGTCAACCAAGCGATTATTATTTCATCAGACACATTGCACACTGCCTCTGCTACTAAAAATGATAAAAATCGAACCACACCATTAAGTGTGTTATAAATATAACACCAACTGAGCTGACCTACTCCCCAATATTCCTATGTCATTACACCAATAAGATAACTAGGCAGTTTTCACTATAAGCATAATTCAGAGATAAAATTTCATCCGAGAATTTCATATTTTGAGAAAATGACTAAACGTTAAACCGTAATACAGATAAGTTGGAGTAATAGTAATGATTTTAGACGACGAAAATAACATACAAAATTAAAATTTTGTAAGGCTGAACGGTTGTTCAATCAACACGTGTTTTGGGTGGGTTATGGGTAGCACCATCTTTTTTTTTTTAAAAAAAAAAAAAGGGTGTTATGATGATTAAGAAAAACAGAGCATGATGAGGGTACATAAGTACTAAGAGGAAGAGAAAAGGTTGTGTTAATGATGGAATTAGATTTGGATTGGCCTGCAAATCACATGGAGGGACAATGGCTGCCTTATACCTACATAACTCTTCATCATCATAATAAGTAATAACACCATATAATTATGCTCTGCTAATTATAATCAAGTACTCTCTGCCCAACCCGGTCGCCTCCGCCATTCTCTTCTACTCCCTTTAAATGTTTTCATTATTCCACAACTAATCTTACAAGGACTGAACAATAAAAGCGAGACCACAACTGAAACAACACGTAACGAGAGATGATCGGGCAACATTCGGGACGAGCAAAGATTGCCTGCTGAAGATCACGTGATTGAGGTCGTTGGAGTGATGAACATTTGGATATTTCATACTAAGTGTTTTTGGGGAGGGGTTGGATTAGGCAGAACATCAATATCATTCCCAATCCCACCAGCTTTTAGCGTGGGTAAGGTTGAAACCACGTTTCTACGTGTCTGGATTTGAAACATGCAACGCCAAAGTGTTCTTCACTTTCTCAAATTATATTTCATCTACTTTTATCGTAGAAATAGAATCATGCGTATTCATAGTACTGCTTTCCTCCCTTCGCCTCTTTTTTTTTTTATAATTTTTTTTAAAGTATTGGTACTAATAACTCGTGCCTTTAATATTAACAGCAGTCTAGCCACCAACAAGTAGCCCCCAAAACATTTCAAATATGAGGAGTTCCTTTTGGAATACAACTGCTGAAATTGATCGAATCTTGCAATAAATACACTAAGCTCCATTATATGAGTCATATGCCTTCGTCGATGAGAGAATTCAAACCACGAAAATTTGATTTGTATTGCTGAAAATCTGTCAGTGGAGAAGAAGGATGGGCTCGTTAGGGTGCCAAGATTCTTCAACGATCCATACCAGAATGTCAACCAGTTTCGGCACTTTAACGTGTGATTTATATATCATCCGTATAGTACAGTTAGGTAAGAAGCCACTGGAAATTGAAAATGAACAACAGACTGAAAAACGCCACTTTTGACCTGATGAGCAACACCAAAATTATCATTTTACATTACAAATTTCTGCTTTCCTCTAAAACAATAGTCTTCAAATCAATATTCACAACATTAAGAAATCAAGTTCCTTGCCAACCTTGTTTTGAGGATAATTTAATTAAAGCGTCTTAACCATGAATTTTTTTATTTTTTTTTCCTTCCAACCAAGCACAATTGAAGAAGACTTAAAAAGGTTACAAAGTTTCCCCAGGCATGCACCCCGACTGCGCCCTGGTGAATTCAGGGGGTTTTAACCCATTGCGTACTTCTGTGTCCAGCTCCGGGCAGTGGCTTCGTATTTGGCCCGGTCAGTCTTATACATATGGGCAATCTCGGGTACTAGGGGATCATCTGGGTTCGGGTCAGTCAACAATGAACAGATTGACAGAAGAACCTGGAACCAAAAGAAGTTGAAAGCATGAATGAATAATTCCAGATTTCACTCAACTGAAAAGAGAGCAGAATGCTGTTTCAGACCATGAGGCACTGCTAAAACCTAGTACTCCAACTCAACATTCAGCAACCAAGAGATAAACATACAATTTTCAAACCAAAACCATCTTAATTCGCAAAGGAACACAGATTCATTATGTACAATACCAAAAACGGAAGCTACTACGAAGGGGAAAAGGTTAAAGAAACAGTCCTGAAGGACATCAGATTTTCAAGGAATGACCACATACAATACATCTGAACTCTAAATGCACCCACATTTCCGAAGCACGAATACAAAACAGGTGCTCAAAGAAACCAAAAGACACAATCTAAAAGAGAATTCGTAAAGCTGTAGATAACAGGAAATCAACAACCAAAGAGATTCCAACAATTTAGTGTGATGAGGAAGTTTAACACCATGCCGCCCCTTGAGCCTATGCAACCTTAAAATGAAATGATAACTGCACCACTTAGAAGTCATATGGACTTGAATCCTACTCCGCCTTCACACATATCATTTTCCCTCAAATAAACTAGCTAGTTTAAGGTTACCGTTTGACATACACCATCAAGGTTCCAAGTCTACTAGTTCAAATATAAAGAGATGCACGTAATCATGGATAAATCATTCAAGATGTAAAACAAGAACAAAAGTAATTAGAGAAATATTAAGAAAAATTCAAACCTTCGAGATGGTTAGTGCTGGGCTCCACTGCTCTTTAAGAATATCTAGACAGATACTTCCGTTGCTATTGATGTTTGGATGGAATACCTTAGTCCTAAATGCAACCTGTATTTGATAGGGAAGCTTCCTACATCAGAGGAAGGGCATAAAAAGAAGCAAAGGTTTTCTACTTCTTTTCTTATTTGAAATATCAAGTAGGACTTCTATAACTTCAGAAGATATTCGGGATAGAGTACCATTAATTTAACCAGATAAGACTCAGCCAATGTACACTACAGAATACTCAGCTCAAGTTTTTTCATTATTTGGACTGAACAAGGGCAAATGCATGCCAACTAATGCCTTTAACATGATGACATCGCACCCAAATAAAAACCACCCATGATCATACCTTTGGAGGCTTAAAAGGGTAATCTGGCGGGAAGTGAATGGAAACTAGAAAAACGCCACCTGCATAAGGGCTATCGGCAGGTCCCATTATGGTTGCCTGCCAATGGAACATATCCTCGGCCACTGGACCTGCGTCAGTTTAACACCACTTTGAAGATAAATCTAAAAACTTCTGCTCATGAACATCTAAGAAATTATATAATGGAAATCTAAAGCAACTGACATAGAGCAATCACAGGATAGAGGTATTTCCAAAACATCTAACTATAGAAGAACATAGATCTGTAAGACTTCTTACGTCCTGGGAGTGGAAACTAATACAGGAATGGTTAACGTGACATCTAAATATAGGAGGAGAACAAACTGAAATTCTGATCACTCCAAGTGGAAAGAAATTAGAAAAGAACAATTTTAAAGTACAATAGGAGAACACAACTCCTCCTATGATCAATATCTTCGAATATCCTTCTATGAGCAATATCTTTGAAGGTTGTAATGGAACCTAAACATCTAGAGACCTCAGGGGAGAGCTGCATCAATCCTATAGAAATATGAAGAAGCTTACTGAGGTATCATGAAGACAAAACCTTTACGCCTCAGCTTATGAAAGGAACACAAATTTGAAATCCAAAAGCAAATTTTATATTCCTTTTAGCCTCAATTAGATCCTTAGGCATATTGTAGTTTTACTACAAGACGCTGTCAAGAAATTATACAAGCTATGCTACTCTACAATCTCAAGGAAAGTCCCAAAGTTAAGGAAGGTAAATTTGATGGTATTAAAGGATCTGAGAAATTTATATCAGGCCTCCAAAATTACAGACAATCATAATAATTAAAAAATGAGCAATCTTCCTAAGGCCCAATTAAATCAGGATTATAGCAGTCTCCTCATCCCAAAACATCTACAATGTCCTAAAGGCTACAACTTTATAGGATTTCATCAATATCCCATGAATGATAAGCTGTCAAATAACGGAATAAATTTATAAGGGAAAGGTGAGTGCTTGATCTATCCACCAAATGAAAAACTTATGCATGACATCAAGAAGAAGCCAAGCTTACCGGCACTGCATGAAGTAGGAGGGTCCTTCTGCAAATCCTTCAGCTCCTTCAATATCCGTTTGGAAGCCATAGCTAATACGCTAATAGCCTACAACTTCAGATCAGAACCTGTAAATCAACAAATATTCAGCTCAGAACAAACCATCCCAGAAAAGGAAACAAAAAAAAAAAAGGAAAGGAAGAAAAAATCCAATACAGAACAGGGAAATGAAAAGAACAAGTCAACGGCGGCGACCCATCAAACAAATCAAGCAAATCAATCAAACCAAATTCAAGATCTAAACAAAACTAGCTCAGAATCAATACCTGAGCTATGCGGAAGAATATGGAGATAGAGGAGAAGGGTGTGGATGGAATAATGCAGAGATAAAAGAGGAAGAAGGAGAAGGAAAAGAAGCAGAGGATATAGTAAAAATTGATTGATTGATAGTTGGGCGTTGTGTTATATTGACGGATTGAAGGCCAAAATCCTGTAGGGAAGGATTAGAATATATTCCCCACAACTATGTGTAATGCAGAAAAATAAAAAGAAAAAAATTTGGTGGAATACTTTATTTGTTTATTATTTTAAAAAAATATATATATATATATTTATATATGGAATTTGTGAAGAGAAAAGACAGAGGAGAAAGTCATAAAAATGTGGGGATTCTAGAATTTTCTTGTGGTGAAGTCATAAAAATGGCGTACAATCAACGGCACCCTCCACCCACATTTCACAAACACCAACGAAAACGAACCTCTCTTTCTTTTTTTTTGTAGTTTGTACCTTTAATAGTGTTATACGTTATACGTTGCCTCTGCTTTCTCATCAGTTTCCAACCATTCTTTTTACCTCTTTTGGGGATATCACTTTTGCAGGTTTCACTAACCATATTTGCAGTTCAAAATGTTTTCAACGTTATTACATTAATTTAATTTTGTCTAATAAGAGTATTAAAGACAAGGGTATTTATTCATATTTCTTTGGTCCCATAAAATTTATACTATTACCGTTTTAGTTTCACAAACATTTTTTCGATTAGGTAATCTGGTATGGTTTCCAGTTTCGGTTTTTGATATGTTTTGAGACGCAAAAGGGCACTGTTTTGATTAGGAATTCTGGAGGATGGAAATTAAGAGACTACGTTTATGAGCTCTACAAAATGTATTGATTGCTTTCTTCTTTGAAAATGACAGCTTGGTTTTGCTTCAGACTGCAAATAGTGCTGGCAGTTGATAGGATTTGAGTTGTAAAACGGCCATGAGTTCATTTATTTGGAATGTGAAATGATTAGGCGGTCTCTTTAACCAACTGGACACACTGAAATGAATAACGTCTTACGCCCAAATTAGTCGGACCAATAGTTTCGAACATTATATTACATAGAGTACTCTCTCTAAAAATTATTGATCAGTTTAGTTTTATTTAAAACTCAATAATTTTGAAACAAAGGGAATACCTAAAAATATGGGCGACAATGGCACAATGCAATCACGTGGAGCTCACTTCTAGGACTTTTTTCGCTCAACGTTTTTCATATAGTTCTTCATTGGTTGGTGATTCAAGATGACAAAGTTGAGATGAAGAAGTTATCCTCTCAGGGGACTGAGAATTTGTTAGAAAAAGTTTTTGATGGGAAGAGAACTCAAACAACATTTACTCCCTCCGTCCTATAATTATTGTCCAATTTTACTAAAATGAAAAATTTTATTTTTAGTCAAACTTAACCATATTTTACCTTAAACAACCGGATATACCCCTACATAAGTAATTGTTTAACTACTAAGATTTTATGAATAATGTTTTTTACTAAGTACAAATATGTAACTTGATTCATAAAAAGTCAAATTGGACAATAATTTTGGGACAAATTTTTTTGGGCAAAGTGGACAATAATTATGGGACGGAGGGAGTACATATTTACATTGTGAGTTCTAGTGTTTTCTTTTTCTTTTTTTTTTTTTCCTTTTTTCTGGTGATTCTCTTCAGTTGAAATGAAACTTTAAACCTAACAATAATACTACCTCAAAACTTTAACAAAAAATAGTTTTGATCCAAAAGATAACCATTAACAGTGAAAATGGGTAAAGGAGAGTCAATTCTAGGAAATACAATTTGGTACATTCTATCTTGCCTCCATATTTACTCGAGATAATTATTTTCAAGTTTCCAGATTGACCAGACACCAGAATCCAGAGCAGCCTGCTTTATACATTCATTACACAGGAACAGGATGACACAGGAAGAAATAATAATCTCAAGTCCTTCCTCATTCACAATATTCGACAAACGATAAAATGCATCGTCTGTGTTTTTTACGTATCTTTTTTCGCCTTCCCGATCATCATCAACTGCCCAGAAAATGCAAAACCATAAGCAACAGGCGAGAATAAGAAAGGAAAAAAAAATCCCATTAAAAACAATAAAAAAATAAACACGCAGACACACAGTTGTATGGAAAAATCAGATTGAATATTGCTACCTGACAGGGGTCAATTTGACAATGCATTTGGGTGTTTTCCCATCATCAAGCAAGCCTTGATAAACGTCTTGGCAGATAACTTTGAAAGGGAATCCCGCCAATCTCTGGCCCTGAAGATCGAAATGAACGTTTCCTCTAATCACAAGATCAATCAGCAGCTGGTGCTTTTCGGATTTGGTCTGCAAGTCCTGCGCGTCTTCGGAAACAGTCACATTGTTAAGGACAGAGTGGATCTTCAGGTCGGTGAAATTCTGAGGCCTCTGCAACAGATCCGGGAGCTGCATGCTCCCCAGTGAGACCCCGTCGGAGGACAAATCCGCCGTCAGGGAGCTGTAAAACACCGGAATCTTGTCGTTTTTGTTGGTGGCGTTTAGGGTCACTTCGATATCTGCACTCAAAAGGGTATCCGAATTCGGGGCTCTTACAATCTCAAAAGATGTAACATTGAGGCTCTCAAAACGGAAGTCCGGCAAGTTGGATTGGAAGAACAGAAAGGATACGCCGCCGAGGACGAGGATGAGAATGGTTAATACTCCGACGACGAGGGAAGCCCAGGCGCAGCAGAGATTGAATCGGGACGAACGTTTTTTAGGAGGAGGATTCTTTTGGGATTCAATGTCTGTAACAACGGAACTAACCACGGATTCGGTTACAGATTTAGGGGATTGTTTGATAGTGGACTCGTTGAATGATACACGGCGAGATAAACTTCTTTGAATTTGTTGTTGGCTGTTATTGCCGGTGGTGCCGGAGCTTGAATTCGATGGCTGGGCCTGACCACCACCTCCTCCTCTGGTCTTTTTTTCAGCCAAACCCGCCATTGTCAGACTTTAATTTTTTGGCCGGTGGAAAAAAATCCTTCATAGTTTTGTTTTGTCAAAATGTTTAATTGGGGGGAAGGGTCCTGAAAGCTCACAATTTTTCCCCTCCTACATTGCAGGAATACCGCAAAGCCCTGCTTTGACCATGTAAAAACTAAAAAAGAGGTTGACAACCCAACAAGCGTATGACAATGGAAAGAACTAAAAGTAATAAATATTCAACAATTTGAAAACAAACAAAACTCAACGATTGATAAGAAAAAAAAAGAAGAAGAAGAAGAAGACAGGTTTAATTAATTTCCCACACTCTGTTTCTCTACAAAACTGGGGGTGTAATAGAAAAAACAATTGAACTCTTGTTTGTGTAAGGGAACTAATTGACATTGACACTTCTGAGAGTTCTGAATCTTATTACTACTGCAACAACTATTGACTGATTGGTTGATTAGATGATTATTCGAAAGCCCACAGGTTTTCCCGGTGGACCTCCTCTTCTTCCGCCGGGGTAAAGTCATTCTTAATGTGGAAAAGATCACGAACATACTGTGGGCTCTTGCCCTTCATCTTGTCTGCAAAGGTTTGCATCACAACGTCCAGCATGGGATTGATGTTGAGATAATTTGCAGCGCAGGCCAGTTCAAACAGCGTATTGTTGTCAACCTTCGCAAATTTAGAATCGAATTCCTCCCACAGCTTTGGCTTGCCTTCCCCTTCCTCTCCCTTAGACTTCGATGCCTTCTTCTTCTTTCCCGTCACTGCTTTTTTTTCTTCTATCGGTTTGGAGGGCTTCTTCTTGTCCGACCCGTCTTTTCCTTCTTCTTCGCTGCTGCTATGGTGCTTGAGGTATTCGATCACTTTGACCAGGATTTTGCTGGTCACGTTGGGAAGAGGGATGGGTTTGTCGGCGCAGCCATCGTCGATCAAGTTCTTGATGGTCTGCGATTCTTCGACCACCGACGTCTCGATCTCGAACGCTTCATCGTCCGAGGATACCAACACGATCGTCTTTGTCTTCTCAGTTGACATGGCTGGCTTCTGTTACCCTACAGCGAAAATTAAAGTTAATAGAGATGGATGGAATTAGGGCGGGCGTCTCACTTGTGGGCTATTTGGTTTGAATTAGAGTTTTGTAAGTCGGTGTATATGGAGAAAACCGAATAATTCGTATTAGGTTTTACAAAAAACTTTGATTCGAATTTGTTTTTGGTAAAATACCTGTAACTCGGTTATCATAACAACGCCTTCAAATGCTAATTACAAAGCGATATACTCCTTCTGTCTCAAAAAAATAAACATTCAGTTAATTGTACAACTATAATGCCACCTAGTTTTGGGAGTTAATTGTACAACTATAATGCCAACTAGTTTTGGGAGGAAGGTGATAAATAGAATATAATAATTGACATGAAAAGGGTCATGGATAATGGATCTGCTTGAAACCATGAATCAGCTTTTGATGAATCTACAGAGAATTGTTTTCCGTGTATGATGCAAAGGTACAAACTTTAATCTTTAAACAGTAAAAATGAATGCTCTACAATTCCTACGGAAAATAACACTAGCTGTACGAGCAATGTTGGTCACAAACTCACTAGAAAGGATGGCCAAAACCTCAGCAGGCACGAAATTCGTTAAAATCAATATCTATCTAATCAGATGAATTCCTTTTGAAGTTACAAATAGGGGGAGCAATCAGAAGAAAAAGGAACATAAGGATGCCTCCAAGAAATCATGGGGTCTGCACAGTTTAGTCTTCTAGGATTTGTTCTCCTCTGAAGATGGCCGATTCTCTGAGTCGGATTGCCGGACCTCTTCGATCATCCTCACTACATCATCCATGTTGGGTCTCATGTCTGGCACCTTCGCAACACATGCCATTGCAATTTGTAGCATCTGCACCATTTCCTCTTCAATGTTTTGGAATCTCATCAACTCGACGTCGAAAACTTCAGCCGTCCATTCTTCCCTCACAACCGATTGTACCCACCTTGGCAGATCAACCATGTCTTCGCGTCCTGGAGACTGAATCGGTTGTTTACCGGTTAGCATCTCAAGTAGGAGGACGCCAAAGCTGTATACATCCGATTTGTGAGTATGCTTTCTGGTTTCAATAACCTCAGGTGCACGATACCCAGCGTTGCGAGATCGAGTAACAGGAAAGTTCATGAGCGGGGCCAATCCGAGATCTGAGACACAACCATCAAGATCCTGGTTGAGGAGGACATTTGAAGACTTGACATTCCCATGAGTAAATTTTGGCCCACCCACAGAATGAATATGGGCAATGCCTCTTGCTGCACCAAGAGATATCTTCACTCTCGTTTCCCAGTCCAGTGGAGTACGTCCAGCAGACCTGTTTCCTGAGACATCAGAAAACAGAGAGTAAGACTAATAACACAGAAGCTGCCATCTAAATTATCATAAACACAGGGATGATTGCTGATACAAGGTTCTTTTCAGTCAATGTTATGCAGCACTATCATTTCACTTTAAATTATGAGCTGGAAATAGGTTACTATGTTTGCAGCATCAAATAAATAAACTTGGGATATGCTGCATTCATTGTTATTGTGCTTATAATTTTGCCCAGAAAAATGGTAATTAGCTATGCTGCAATCTCAACTAACGAAGAGAAAAAGTGTAGCCTCATATGTACGTGACTTGTGTAGGTGCAATTTTGATTATAAAGCAAAATGCAGGTGGGATAGTTCTATTTAAAACATAGTAACCCAGGCTTGTAGACAAAAAGATTAGAGCAAAGAGCTGCATACCATGCAATAGAGAGGCTAAGCTGCCATTTGAGAAGTAGTCATAGACAAGAAGCTTTTCATCCTTGGAATAGTAATAAGCACGTAGAGGAACAACATTTGGGTGCTGTCCAACCCTTCCGATAATTTCCATCTGCTGTTCAAAGTCTTTCTTCCCAACAATTACTTCTTTCAACCTTTTCACAACCACAGTGGTGGCCTCCTCCAACACAGCTTTGTAAGCGGTGCCAAAACTACCTTTTCCAAGCACTTCAGCAGAGGCCCTCAGCAAATCTTCAAGATCAAAATTGTACGAGCAGCCCTCAAAGAAAACCAGCTTGTTCTTTTCAGGTTCTTGTACCCCACTACCAAACTCCTCCCTCGGTTTCTCGCTTCTCCCACCAGTGGAGGACTTTCCTTTCAGTACACTGCCAGCATCACTTGGTTTTTTCTTCAAACAACATAGTAAGAGTATAATCAGTATAAGAAGGAGAAGCACACCACCTCCAGCTGCAATTGCAATAATAGCTGCTAGAGGGAATTTTCTTTTGGAGTGTTTTCTTTGTTCTGGAGGAGGCGGAGAGATACCAGGGGAAGGAGAAGGAGCAAGAGCAGGAAAGCAAGGACTTAAAGGTTTTCCACATAACTGAAGGTTCCCTGAAAAGGAAGAACTAGGAAAACTTTGTAGAGAAGATGGGATAGATCCATTGAGACGGTTGTTACCTAAGTTCAGACGCTTGAGCTTTGGAAACGTAATATTTGGTATGGCACCACTGAGGGAGTTATTTTGAAGTGACAATGTAGTAAGTTCAGTCAAATTCTGAAATGATGGAGGGATATTCCCAGTGAAGGAGTTAAATGAGAGGTCCAACATGTTGAGCTGAGGAGAAAACATAGTTGGAATATCACCAGAGAAATTGTTATATTGGAGGAAGAGGTTCTGAAGAGAAGGTAGGGAAGAAATATCAGATGGCAGAGTACCACTGAGGAGATTGGCTCTAAGGCTGAGAGTCACCAGTGAGTCCAACCTTCCAAGTGTATTGTTCGGTATTGGACCTCTGAGTCCAATAGCTGGAAGCCTAAGAGCATGCACACGGTTGTTGAGACACGTTACTCCTGTCCAATTGCACAAAGAAGTACGAACACTCCAATTGAGCCTCCGGTGATGGGGAAAATGAGCAGCAAAAGCAAGCAAGGCTCCTTCATCTCCTTTTGAGTCACCAAGTGCTAAAGGTAGGTGATACACATTGAAGACGAGCCAAAACAGCAACGTGGTGCTGCAGAGTTTCATGAGATGGTCTGATTTACAGAATTTGCGCCCTATGAACATAAGAAAGAGACACAATACATCAAAATGCTTGCAAATAGAACATTTTAAGGCATAAAAACACCTGCTGTATTTATTATTAGAAAGAACACTTGGACACAATTTTTGTTTCATGATGGAGAATAGCATTTTAAAACAATCGCAAATCATAATTGAGAGGGAGTAATTCATTTGAACCCCAGGAAAGTCTGTAATGCATAAAGCTTTTGAAACAGCCAAGTGAAAAAGAATAAAAAGGAGGTTAATCACTAGAAGAAGTAATGAAATAAGGAGAAAAATGCCCAAATAAATTTTCGACCAAAAGCAATGTAGACCTTATTCTTTCACATCAATGAACGGCAGAATAAACCATGTCAAGATAATTTTTTTTCCTTTATTTGATGTAAAAATAATTTTTTTTAAAAAAAAACATGCAATTCTCTCTCACACATTACAATGCATTCGGCAAACTCTATAGATTGAATCTGCGCAATCAAGAAAATTACACAGATTTTCTACCAAAGAAAAGAGAGAAAAATATAATGATAACTTTCAGTTTTGTGCCAGAATCAAGAAAAGAAGGCACGGTGCAGATTATAAAAAGAGAAGTGGGCTCTCAAATACATATAAAGCAATCAAAACTGGACATTACAGAACAATTCTTGAGACTCCAAATAGAAACAAACTCAGAAGTTAGAAGCGCAACACACAAGTGAGAAAAAGGTATAAAATGGGAGGAAAAAGAAGAATCGTAACAATAGCTCAACAAGAATAATTAATGAATTTCAGTCATGAAAAATATGTATGGGAGGTAAGAGTGATCCAAGTGAGAGAGGTCACTACAACTCGATTTCAGGCCAAACTCAAAAAGTAAAGAACAAATCTTGGATTCACTGAATCTGATTATATGGAAAGGAAAAACCATGAAAATTATCGTTATTTTGGTTATGAAAGATGAAAAAGAATAGAGTAAAGAAACACCTTGACAGCAAAAAGGCTAAAAAACGGCATCTTGAGAAAAGAAAAAGGATAAACCCTTGTGCTTTCTTGTATCATTTGCTATGCCTCAAAAGTGCAAGATTCTTAGCATACAAGGAAATGGAGTGATCATCAAAGCAAAAAGTGACAGGAAAGACAATTAATCTCCCAACAGAAAGAAAAAAAAAAAAAAACAGAATTGGAAAAGAAACCATGTCACTTGAGCTAATACATTTCAATAGCAGAAGTCACATGGCATGGATCCAGCATAAAATGATCTTCCTCTGTTTCAAAGCAGTAGAGGAATTCAGAAGAAAACAGAGACAAAAGTCACAAAACATAATAGAGATAATTAATTTATAATTATATAGGGAAAACAGTAAAAACTGCAGCGAATTCTTACCTAAAAAAAGCAATATTTGAAATGAAGGTTTAGTTGGGAGCAGATAAACAGCCAAGTCAAAAGTAACTAGGAAAAAAAACACTTAACCTGACTTGCTAAACTAGTTTATTTACCATAATTAGAACACTTCAATTAAAGCTTACTCAATTCAATTAAGCACTTCATTAAAAACCCAGCACCCATTGCAACAGAAACATCACATAGAACAACAAGAATGATAATTTCACTTAGATCTGCTTCTCAAATGCTTAGCATCTACCCACATTTATCACAAATGGGAAAATTAACAAACCAAAAAAAATGTTGCCATTACCTGTTAACATTCTGAGCAAAGAATGTCTTTTTCCAATAATACTTGGTTAACTACAACAGCATTGAAACCTCACATGGAAATTGCAGAAAAGGGATGTCCCAAAACACATTCCCTGATAAAGTAACCGCATTTGGAAACGGGATAAAAAAAAAAAAAAAGAGTCAAATGAAGATCCAGAACCAAAAACAAACGGGCAAACCCAGAAGAGCCTAATTCACAAAGTCTAAAATGGGATTTGGCAAAATGAAAATTAGATCTGAATACAAAGATAATAACTACAACTCGCAAGCCAGGAAAAGCTAAAAAAAAAGGGAGGGAAGAAGTAAATTTCCCAAAGAGAATGAGCAGATAGGAAAGATGGGGAATTTCTTGAGTGGAGTGAAGAAAACAGAATGAGGAGTGAGTGAGGTGGCAAAGCAGCCTTGCTTCTATCACTTATTCAACCACTTCTCTCACTCTCGACTGGCTTTTAGTGTGTGACTGCGTGTTGTTGGAGAGAGAGAGAGAGGGGAAGATGGAGGAGGAGGAGGCTGGGATAGGTGTGAGGGGCGGGTGAAGCGGGGGAAGGATTTTGTCTATTTGCTGCTATTCTTCCAAGGGGAGTTTCATTATTTAATTTTATTTAATTAAATCGTGTTTGTTTGTTGGTTTTTTTAGAAAAGGTTCATGTGGACCTCTTGCCATTATTGCTCTTTTTTATTTTCTGATTTAATGGAATACGTTAATACTCCGATCTCCATCAGCAATATATATATATATATATATATATATATATTTTTAAAGTTGGGTACATACTGTAAATAAAACAAATTATAAAATTAATTTAAAATGTTTCTTTTCAAATAAATATGAACCCTAAAAGTCCCTGGACTTTTATGTCTCAATCTGATTTTGCCAATTATTTTATAATATTTGAAATATAAGATTATACCTTTACTGTTTGGTTCGATTTTAAAGAATGGCGAGTGATTAGACCAATGTCATATATTGAATAAATACTTCAAATCACGCATGTCAAATACGGTCACATTTTGTTTCCAATATATAAAAATGTCTTCAATTTTGATCTAGTTTCCAATCGTAAGTACCTTCCCATAGGATCGTACTATACACTTTGAAACAAATATTTTCCTCTAAATCAAGACTAAAAGGAATATGATGTTAAAAGACAAATTTAGATTGACTATGAAAGTTAAGGGACCAAATGAGCAAATTACTCCACATTAATAAAGTATTATGTCAAATGCTTGATTAGTTTTTTTTTTTTTTACTTTTTTGAATGAAAAGAAGAATTACAATTATGCTTCCTTTGCATGAAAGTAAAAGGGTAAAAAAGACTCAAATTAAAGAGGAGATTGTTGATGTTATAGGATGCTATGAAAAAGGGCAACAAAATGGCCTTAAATTGACTTTACAAAAGTTGGGATTATCGTTCATCGTAGACCCACTGCATAAATAAAGTACAAAACACACCCCTCGAAAAATAATTGGATGATATAAAGAGTGAAAGGTGATAAACTTATTGTCAATGAGCTGACCAAGGAAACTTGGATGAATTACTAATTAGACGTCCAACCCAATGAGTCAATATATTCTTCCATATTTGTCTTCTTCGGGAACATTTTCCCTTCCGTATTCCTTTCATAATTCACTGGATTTACAGTTTTAATTAGACAGCGTCAAAATATTTTTTAGAACGAAAATAATAATTCAATGTATGTTATCGAGAGTAATAGTAATAACGAATACATTTTAGTTTTAACTTTTGTACCCAAAATAATTAGGTTTTGTTACTACTAATTAATGTGTGTAAGCTTAAAGGAATATTATTTTTGGAAAGAGGATTTCTCTCTTTTTGCCCCCCCCCCCCTTTTTTTAAGAAATTGGCCATTATTGGTACTAGAAGTCTAGAAGTACAAGTTAGACTTATGATTGTTGTGATTAAATACACTTTCGTTTTTTGTCATTTGCATGTAATCAAATTTTATTTTTTAATATGATTTGTCTTTCTTTTCTTTCCCATTTATGAACTGTGCATATGATTTGTTAAGCATGATGAGAATGCTAAAATTTAAGTGAAAATGCTCCTCCCAAAGGAGTCTTATTTGTTGGATTAGAACAAAACGTGAAAATATTTATTAAATGTATATAGTACAATAAACATTTTTTGGGGGCGGGTCCTCTATGCATTCATGTTTACCATTCATTTCACGATACAGATTGATTTCATTGTCCCTGCTATATTTCTAACCCCAGATATACCCAAAAAAAAAAAAAAAACCAGAAGAAGAAGAAAAAGATAGAGATGGAGATCATGAATGGAAATTAAAACTCAAATCATATGATAATTATTTTACAAATTTGACGAAAGACAACAGAAACTTTTTTTTTTTTTATGAGAAAAAGAGACACACAAGTTTTTTTTTTAAAAAAAAATTGAAGGATAAACATTAATTTAAAATTCGTAGTTACCAAGTATATTCTTGTGTATTGTTGATTGAGTTTATCTCTTCAAGGGTGTGTAAGTTGGTAGGTTCATCCGGTAATTGATTAAGGTCGGGTGCAGTGGTGAGAATTGATTTTGAGATCATACCAATTTTATGTTACGCCCAAAATGCAAAAGTATGGCTTACATGGTTACGTATTTCATTTCATTTGGTCACCGATTTGGCATTTACTCTTTGCAGAAAGGAATCAGTAAGAAGCCGTGAAAGTAGTTGTTGTAAGCATTCATTTATTCCTTTCATGTGAAGCAAAATTAAAACAAACACAAAATAATAAAATAAAAGTGAAACTACTAAAAACTTCATTGATTGAGTTGAGTCCACCCAAAATTCTTCTTCACCAAATTATCATTGTTATTGGTAGATATTAGTGTTTGGTAAATCAACTGCTGATCTCCTAGGTTTTTGATTAAGCTCGTACGTAGTATCACAAAAGTGACATTTAACCCATTTAAATTGATCAGTTGATCTAAACTCATAACCATATCTACTTTTCAATTTCAATCTTCCTATGTTTGTACTTTCTACCAACTAGTCTACTGTCTACAACAAGAAATATTACTCGTTAGCTATGCCTTTTATGTTGTAGAGTAGTACTTTAGACACTTGGATGATCAGATTTCAGAGCACATTGATCTCGCATGCATAACTAGTGCACCACGTAAGACACGGTAGAGTTCAGTTCAAGATCATTTACTTGTGATAAATTGATTAATATATCAAACAAAGTTAGATATGTATAATATAAGAGACGAATTTTATTATGTTGATGCATTGGCAAAGGAGGCTTTAGGGAAGGATGAGGGACTATATTTTTTTGATATCCCACCCTCTTGTATATCTTTGTTGTTAGAGCAGGATTATTTAGGTTCACGTGCGTCTTTTGATCAAGGCACCTAGCCTTTGTGTATGTATGAATGAAATCTGTTTTCGACAAAAAAAAAATAATAATAACCAAGGAATTGGAGGGTTGAATCATTAAAGAGAAGTGTTAACTGACCAAATTTCATCAAATGATAAAATTTTTGTGGTGACTGTATAACTTTCTCATCCTTTTTTTTTTTAAAAAAAAAAACTACTAATCACTATCAATATTATTGCTTTATATATCTATCAAGAAAAAGTACTCCCTCTGTCCCATAATTATTGTCCAATTTGAGTTAAAGACAATAATTATGGGACGGAGGGAGTATAATAATAATATAAAGCTTTTTGTATTGGGCAATGTCTTTCGCTCGTACTACAATCACATGCATGCATACGTTGTTATCCCAAATTAAAATTGACAGCAACAAATTTGTCTTTCTACGTCAACAACAATCTCCCACGGTTTGTGTTTTCAGTATACGCCATCACTAATTTGGCTTCGTACCTTTGTTCACATCTACCAAATTCGATGATTCAAAAGATATGATTTTGTACAGAAAAACAGAACAACTCCTTTGGTATTTTTGTTGCGTCCTCCAACCACTACCTTAATCTAAGTCGACAGAAATGTACGATTTCCGACGGTGTTAATTATATTAATTGAAAATTAATACTTCTAAATTCTAATTTAACAAATTTACAGTATGGAAATGAAGGGGAGAAAGTGTGCCGTAATAGCCACGCAGGAGGAGGGATGAGGGACAGCTGTGTCACTTTCACGCACAGATCTCTACGAATTAATCATGCATTAGTTGGATCTTAATTTAGTTCTTCAAGAACTAGTCTTACTTTATTTTTTTTGGGATTAATTTTGATAATCAAGTCAAAATTTGGATCTGATTAATTAGTTTGGATTAAGGATGCAATAACTAATGTGTATCCGCATGTTACCAGCCAGATGAATATGTTGTAACTGATTGGAGGAACATGCATGATCAACTTGTACTTCTACTTATTTTATGAATGGATGGCACATGATTAGTAAGTAGTATCAAAACTAGTTAGTGGGACTTTTTTCTTTTCTGGACCAGCTAATTTAATACCGGATAAATTTTATTTTTTCTACAATTAACTAGTGATGTCTGATGCGTGACCGTGACCCAATATATCTTAGAAATGTTTGAAGAATATAGAAATATTTTATAAGTGTGATCATAGAAATGTTTGTATTTGGCATAAAAATACAAACATTTTGTATTTGGCCCGATATATTTTAGAAATGTTTGAAGAATTTAGAAATGTTTTATAAGTGTGATCATAGAAATGTTCGTATTTGGCAAAAAAAGAAATTGTATTTGGTCTGGTACGTTTTAGAAATGTTTGAAAATTTTAGAAATATTTTATAAACGTTACTTCTTAAATATAAATAAACTTGATCAAATATATGTCTTGAAATAAATGTTAGACAAAATATAAAAGCATCCTAATAAATTTAAATATTAGTAAGTTACTTTATTGATTTTCTCCATTGGTTGTGCCAAATCAATACTTCATAACTGGCAAATAAAAAACAAAGTAAAAGATAGCCCATTAAAAATTGAGAAATTTATTTTTTCTGTAAGTAAAAATGATGTATAAAAACACAAAATAAACGTAGAAACATCATTCCTTCCCTCTCCACCTCAAATTCATAAAAGGCTTCCTCATAAATTAGTTAGAAGAAGCAACATGAACTATTTATATGATGAGTAACTAAAAAAAGTCCAAAAACCAAATCCAAAAAAGTATATTCTTCAAAGTCCGAAAATAAATAAAAAAACGCGCTTCATTTGCAAATAAAATAATAATAATAATAATAATAATTGGTCAACTGGGAGTATGAAACAAAATCAAAAGCAATTAAACAAAGAAAAAACACACTTCATAACTGACCGTAATAATTAAAAAAAGAAAACCACTCTAATTGAATGAAACATAAAAAAGAAATTTAAAAAATCACACTTTGTAACAAAAATCCAATTAATCAATTCAATCCAAACAGAACTAAAATCATACAAAAATTTTAGGCTAACTAACCATATTAGAAATCACATCATATTACCTGACAACGGCTACGGTATCTGTAACGGATTGACGCATAAAAATAATAGTAATAATACTATTCTTGAACGGAAAAAACAAAAAAATAATAAAAGCCAAACAAATAATCTGTGGAAATAAAATCATTTAAATTTTAATACCTGTAATGGCACCACCACAACGGCCGAAGTAAGATCAATGAGAATTTTTTTTTTCCCTTTGTGTTTTTGTAGAGAGGTAAA